AAAGTACTAAAAATACTGAACAATTCTTCTTAATACTTAGATAATTAATTATTATCTTCGATATTGATCGGTAGATTTCTATAAGGGTTAAGGATTAAATAGAAAACAATTGTACATTAAAAGAAAAAATATTTTTCATGATCTCTAATTTTTTTATCGACGACATAAAACGATACTGTTTTCTATTTGCACTCGCATATTACTAATGGTAGGGAATAGCGTGGAACAAATCGTATTGTAAAATCAATTTTTCATCGTATAATGCCGCCAACACGAAGTTATGATTGGTACGAACAATTGGCAGGCATACATGCGCAAATATAAAAAATAATTGGTAGGCGACGAGATTTTCGCGGACTCCATACGCTGCGACGAATGATCGAAATAATTTACGCGTCGGCATTGGCTGGATGCATTCGCGCAACTTTCTCGACGGCTCGCATTGTATCATCGTTGCGCTTTTTTTTTTGCTATGTTATTTATCCTTAGCGGGTCGTTAATCGCACAGTCGATTGCCGCACCAGCGAGAAAGAGCTAGGCACGCAGATAATTGGCGCCTAATTGGACCCACCTGTTCCATCCGGCCGGGCAAAGGCATCTCGACTCTCTTACGGTATTTATTTTAAGCGAAGGGGTTGGCCTCTCGATTACCTAACACTTGTGTCAATTTTCTCAACAATCCGGATTTCATAAAGACGTTTTCGCTTTAATCACTTATAGAAATCGTTCCGCCGCGTTGATCGAAAAAAAAATGTACCAATTCCGTTTATCGAAAAAATTATACTCTTAATAAAGATTTTTATCTTATTTTCGCATTTCTACCTTAATATTCTAAAAGTGCGTTACATTTCTATACATGAACATAATTACAGAGCAAAGCATTTCTTAATCCATACAATTCTTTTGATCTGTTAATTTATTTATCTTTTACAATGTTTTAATGTTGTAAACTGTAATTTTTACAATACCGTAAATTACACAATAAATCCCACAAAATAAGTTATAAAAGAAACATCATCTTTTTAGTACCCGATCATCAGCAAACGTCATTTGTCAGATACAAAAATGCATTTGCTCTAATTCCATGTTAATACGCCGTTTCGTGCGACTTGCTTTGTATGCGAAGTAATCGCTTTAAAACGCTCGCTAATTTTCAAAGAAAGAGCAAACGTCGGTTTTTACTCGCGGCCACCATTATCTCTCATTAGAGTGGATTCTTTTAGCGAAATCCCATGGCGTCTCTCTCTTATGTCAACCTACGCTCATGTGTGTGCGTGTGTGAACCGAAAAAAAGAAAACGTGAAAGAAGACAGGGGGATTCGCGCGCGCGAGAAAAGGAGTGCGACAAGAGGGTTGAACAAAATGTATAATACCGACACAATGCTCGCACATATATGCGATTGCGCGCATGCAGACA